AGACTCCCGAGGAGACTGAGGGCATGTAGGATGTTCCCTATGCCTCAGTAGTAGGGAGCATCATGTATGCCATGCTGTGCACTCGTCCTGACATCACTCAAGCAGTGAGTGTGGTAAGCAGATTCCNACAAGATAGTCAAAAGATATAGCATGGAGAACTCCAAGAAAGGAAATGTTCCTTTCAGGCATGGAGTCACTCTGTCCAAGGGCATGTCTCCTAAGACTCCCGAGGAGACTGAGGGCATGTAGGATGTTCCCTATGCCTCAGTAGTAGGGAGCATCATGTATGCCATGCTGTGCACTCGTCCTGACATCACTCAAGCAGTGAGTGTGGTAAGCAGATTCCAAGCCAACCTAGGGTAGGAGCATTGGACTGTTGTGAAAAACATACTTAAGTACCTTCGAAGGACAAAAGAGTTTTGTCTAGTATTCGATGGTAGTTCATTACAGATCCAAGGGTATTCTGATACCAACTTCCAATTAGATCCAGATGATAGAAAGTCTACATCTGGGTATGTTTTCACGATAGGATCGTATGCTGTTTGCTGGAAAGGCAGCAAACAGGGGTCCACGACGGATTCCACAACCGAAGCCGAATACATTGCCGCAAGTGAAGCTGCCAAAGAAGCCGTATGGATGAAAAAGTTCATTCATGAATTGGGATTAGTTCCATCCAGCACATCACCCATTCTACTGTTGTGTGACAACATTGGAGCTATCGCTCCGGCTAAGGAGCCACGAGCCCACTCAAAGTCGAAGCACATCGAGAGGAAGTACCATGTACTATGGGAGATAGTTGGAAGAGGGGACGTCTTAATTCAGAAGGTAGCATCAGTGGAGAATGTAGCAGACCCATTGACTAAGCCACTGACACAGAAAGTGTTTGAGAAACACATGGAAAGCATGGGACTCCGGCTTATACCAGATTGGACCTAAGTGCAAATGGGAGCTGTTAGATGGTGTATGCCCTTAGCTCCAATCAGAATGGTGTACTTTATGACATTTAATGTAAATGAATAAAATACATATTTGATTCGTGTTATTATGGTGTGTTTCTGTGTAATACCCTTAGACTGTACACATATGAGACTTGTGTTAGTTTAGAATCTTCACAGCCATTGGATAGATCTGGGGAGATTTATCCTGCCAAGGCTGACACTGATGTGCTGCCAAGTTGGTTGGGGTGG